CTAAAAAATACCCCCCCCCCCCCCCCAACATTCCTAGTTTTGTTTGTTATGATGAATGTTTGTACATATGCCAATTGATTTTATTTTATTTTACTAATTTCAGGCTGGAATTGAAATTGCGAAGCTCTTTCTGAATGAAGGGGAGAAGGTACATGTTGAAGATTAGAACTTCAAAGAACCTTTTCCTGTTTGTTTTTGTTTTATGCAGTCGATATCTGAAAATTTTTATGCATGACTTTCATTTCTCATCAACTTCAAAAAAGTTAGCAATCTTTCATTAGGTTATGTGGGTAATGGGATTGGGAACAGTATGGTGTGGATACTACAAGGCCAAAATGCACCTTTGCCTATAAAATGTTGAAAACTGTATTGAACATTGAAAGCTAGCTATTGGACATGGTATGTACCATTAAATCTGAAGTTTGAAGCTTCATGATTGAGATAAAATGTAATGAGGTCCGCAGTGTCAATTTATTTTGACTGATTTTGACATTTGTCTGGTAGTGAAAAAGAGGAAAGTGGAGGAGGGTGTTGGGACTTAGAGCTGTTGATAGGTGACGAGGCAGTATTTACATGGAGCTCTCTTTTTAATAGCTTCTATATATGAATTTGCAACTTGTTAGATTCAAGTATTTTCTGTTTGACTGTTACTATGATCATCCTTGCAATGTTTGATTATTTGGAAGTCCTATCTGAAAGGAAAGGGTATCGGTGCATAACTTTTTTGAAGTTGATGATTACGGTTAATACTTATTGAGGATGAAATTTGAGGATTGATCAAGAACTGATTGTGGGACATCCCTAAATATTTGGATAGTGAGATGTTTGATTAGAAATAAACGTTGGGATGAGGATATAAGATTTCTTGATAAGGATTATGAAGGCATTTGGGTTTCGGGAATAGAAGTTTATGTTAAACTATCAAAGTACAGGGGCTATCTTGTGATCTGGTTTTGGAGCTGGAACATGCATATGATATTATGAACAGGAAGAAGAAAGAAAAATAGAATTAGAGGAGAGTAAAGGAATCTGTGACTATATAAGAAGAAAGAAACTAGGGTTGCATGGATCAAAATATGCTTTCATTCTAGAAATTCTCAATATGTTATATAATGATTTCATCATAAGAAATACTATATTCTTATATAAATTCCAAAATTCTAAAACATTAAAGGCTGGCCTAATTAAATAACTACTCATAGCCATTGATTAAAACTCTGGTTGAAGAAGCCAAAGAGACTAAACCACTAAACTTGTTCACTGCAAACAGTAAAGTTCTGAAAAATAAAACTTATATATATGTTAAGTAGGGAAATAGGGTAATGGATGGAATTGAACTTTGAATTTTGATCTAAAGTCCTGAAAGCAAGAATTAATGTGGTGTTTTATCTTGATGTATTAGCAGGTGATTTATACTGTCGGAAGGGATCCACAATACCAAAACACTATTGTAGCAGACAGCGCACCATTGGTCAAAGCTCCTGTTATTGTATGCTTCTTTTCTGATATATTATTAGCGCTATGGTGAAATCTGATATATTATTAGCACTATGGTGAATGTATAGGTTTTTGTTAATATCCAAGTCTCAGGCTTTTTCACTATCAAAGCTGATGGCTCTGAACATGCAACATGGGCATTTATTATTTGGGTGATTTTGTTGCCTATGCAACATGGGCATGGACAATGGTGATACTTTTCAGCATTAATAGCAGCTACCAGGACCAGAGTTTTGGGGCTTGAGCTTCTCAAATTCTGTTAGATTTGATTGCCCTTTCAAATATATTTCTTCCATAGAAATTCTGTCACCCACTGCTCAGAGCATTGTTTCTTCAGGATCTTATATGCATTTTTTTCCTCTACGAAGCTTGACACATTTCCATGCAGGTTTTGGTGAACAACAAAACTGCTAGTGCGAGTGAAATTGTGAGTTCCTTGTTTCACCAAATGTGTGTTTATTTGGCTTTTAGCTTGTGTTGCTAATCAAGCTTCATGTTTCAGGTTGCCTCCGCACTTCATGATAACTGTAGAGCTGTGCTTGTGGGAGAAAGGACTTTTGGCAAGGTTAGCTAGCTTATCGTGCCAATGATGTATTTTTTACGTTGTTTCCATGTTTATTTCAATCAGGCTATGCGTCTATTGTTATCTTGTAGATGAAGACCCTTCTAGAACTCCTTTTAAGTTGACCTTACTTGTATTTGGTGTCCATATAGGGGGGAATCACAAAAGAGGGCTCTTTCTATGTCAGGCATAGGAAGTTGATTTCTTTTTTTGGTCCTGCTCGAGTTAATCAAACATCCAATCATTTCCAAATCAATAGGAATGGCTGATTTTGATTGTTTAGCGATCCAATTTGTTGAGTTTGATACTTATGGGTTCCAACAATTCAAGTAAGAATAGGGTGATTAGTGCTGGAACCTGTTAATATTCTGTTGCTATGGCAAATATATTTTCAGGGTTTGATTCAATCAGTTTTTGAACTTCATGATGGGTCCGGAGTGGTTGTCACTGTTGGGAAGTATGTCACACCAAATCACATGGACATAAATGGTAATGGAATAGAGCCAGACTATCAAAACTTTCCAGGTACAGGTCATCATTGTTTGGGTAGTAAAATGGTGATTTCTCTCAATAATCTGAACAAAACTTCATATGCAGGTTGGAGTGATGTTCAAAAACACCTGTCAGAATGCAACATCAATCAGCAAGGGTAAAATTGAAGTCCGCATCAATATTCTTTCCAGAAAATTGTGCATATTGATTCCATAATCAGCTGCCCAATTATTCTTGTGCTTTGCTAGCTGACTGAGAACCTACCTTCGTGAGTCAAAAAAACATAAGTTGACTAAAGGCATTGCTTCTGCATTCTTCCCTTGCAACATACAGAGGGATTTTTATTAAGAGCTACATTAGTGCTGTCTTTCGAAATGACAGGAACCATCACCGTGAAGTGATATTTTTTTTTTTCAAAAAAAAGAAGAAAAAACCTGGGATTGGGGTGGAATTGGGTAGGCAAGAGTTTGGTTGTAGCCTGAGTTTTGCCTTCTAAGATGTATAGACAATTTGTTGTAACCCTTGTGGAACCAAGGATGTCTCTTCTTTCTCTTGGAGTACAGTGATGCGGAATTGTTTTCCTTTTAACTTATAAAAGGGAAGAATTTCCAATTCCTCTACTGAGATCATGTAATTCGCAGTTTATTTCACCAGGAAAAAAAAATTCTTCAACTATCAAATAATCATTGAAATTGGCGATAAATGTCTTGGTGATTTGTAAAGAGGTAGGTTGGGATGATAACAGTACACGAAAAAGGTTGTGGTGGCAAGGGGGGAGGATAGGATGGTAGTAGTTTTCTGTGTGCGTGTGATAAATTGATATTAGAATTATTATATATATACATAAAGGGATTAGTAGCTTATAACGTATAGATCATAATTTCCATTTCAGAATGAAATATATCCAGAAACTTCCATCCAAATGCATGCAGCAGAACAAAACATAACTTTGATCATCGAATGAAGGTGCTGAGCTTCATTGTGAAAGGATGGTTCCAGACCAATGCCTAACAAAAGCAGACTGTTCGTTTTAGATTCACACAGGAAATTAGGCTCGGAAGTACTTCCCCTGAGGTGATGCTGCATCGTCAAAGCACTATCTCAAGCGTCTGCCTGTAGTTAATATAAATAGGAAGATCCCATGAGCAATCTATTGGAGTAGTGTAAAGTATGCCAAAAATAGACGGTATCCTTAACTTTGCACTGTTCTTATTCGAGGTAATATGTGGCCTGGAGAACTCATTTTTATTTAAGAAGATGGTGAAGCTTATCCAACGTTAAAAAAGAAAAAATCTCAAGCTGCCTGCCTTTAACTTTTGATCCAGTCCCATGAAACAGTAGAAAGAGGAGCACGAAAGTGAAAAGAAAAATGCCATTAGGTTTGGACATAGATTAGCATCCCAATCAAACGTCAGATTTAAATTCCCAACAGATTGCTCTTTTGCCTTTTCCCTCCTCCATACACTTTTTGCAGTATCTTCCTCTTCTTGCTTGCAAAATTTAACTACCCAATGCCTCCTCTCTCAAGTTTTCTGATATTCTTTCGTCTCTCTACGACCCAAGGAAACTTTGATTCTTCAGGTTTTTATTTCTATAACTTATGTCAGGATGATATATAAACTCTTCTTTGCCACAACTCCATTGGTCCTCAGGGTGGCTTGTATCTCATTCTTCTTCAAGAAAAAAAAAAAAAGAAAATTTCAGAACCACGTTATAGAAGCAGCAGCAGCTTGACAATATGGGTTCTGGAGGAGCTCTTCAATCTTTCGCAATCTTCCTCTCGTACCTGTCTCTCTATTCAGGTGACTGGCATTTCCTCTCTTTGGTTTCCAGCATTGCTGGCATCAGCAAATCTCGTTTCGGTGGCTCATTTTCTTCATATGAATGCTATGTGCTTTTGTTTATATAATCTTAGCATATGTGCATATCCCTTAATATGTGTGGCCAAAGTGGATCCTAGAACAGAATTGTCTGAAAAACAAAATAAAAACCATCCTTCTGCTGAGTGGCAAGGCTTCTGGTTAACCAGTCTATATTGAATTTCGTTACTTGTGATCATGCTGTAAACTTCCATCTTAATTCAAGCAGAACCTGGTAGGTAGATTTATTCTCTTTTTATCTGTAACAAGTAGATGAAATTGTTATGCTTTTCTATGATTGCATGAAACCCAATTCTGAGCAAGAAACACTGCAATCATACATCATAAACATTTGATTTTGAAATTTACCCCTTTTACATTTTCTCTGGTTTTCTGCTTTTAGCAAATCAGGAGTTGTTTGCGAAAATTTATGGGTTCAGTATGCTATCCTGTCACCAATCCACTCTGACAATGGAGAACTTCAATGGCATCCATTAACATGAAACATACAGAACATGACATCAAAGAGATCTGATCCTTCCTTTCGTCTTGTTCAGGTCATCCAAGTGTTGCTGGAACGCCTACTTTGGAATCAATCCAGAAACATAAAATATTAGGCGACCAAGAAAACAGGATGCTCATCTCACACGCAGTGTCCACAACCCAACTAGACACAGTTGCAGGAGGGGTTCCCGTCATCAATCCAACAACTCCGGGAACAACTCCTATAGTAAATCCAGTAGACTCTCCTCCGGCACCAACTGGAATCAGCCCAATACCTACGACGCCCCCAGCTAGTATAAATCCAGTAGACTCTCCTCCGGCACCAATTGGAATCAGCCCAATACCGACGACGCCCCCAGCTGGTATAGTGACCCCAGTCACTCCGAACCCCCCGGCTTCCACAAATCCAACCTCTTCAGGAGGGCAATGGTGCATTGCAAGCACCATTGCTTCACAAACCGCCTTGCAGGTAGCTATTGACTACGCTTGTGGCTTTGGTGGGGCAGACTGTTCTGCAATTCAACCTGGTTCAGGTTGTTATAATCCAAACACCCTCCGCGATCATGCTTCTTATGCCTTCAATAGCTACTACCAGAAGAATCCAGGTGCTACAAGCTGTGTTTTTGGCGGAACAGCACAACTTACCAGCACCGATCCAAGTAAGATATGTGATCTTGACAAAGAACATCATCCTGTGGATTGAGATCCAATACCGTATTTTCGAAACAGGCATACTGCAGAAGTTTTGAAATCTGTTCTGTTTTCAATTATAACAAACATTCCATAACCTAAATTCACTGCTTGGCTCTTGAAAAATGGTTTTTTTCACCTTTTAGGAACCATTGTTTCCCCTTCAAAAACTCTTTTTCATAGCTATGACTTGTGGCTTAAGCTCTAGCTCATCTTTCAGCCACGAATCCTCTATTTTTTTAAAATATATATTTATTAATTTCCTTACTTTAAGTTGATTGGTCACTCAGAATCCTGAAACAATAGGGATTGAATCTATATAAAATGCTTCCTATTAGATTAAACAATAGTTTAGATTACTAAACTTCTCTGTCTGCCTATTAGATTACTAAACTTCTCTGTCTGCGCCTATTGCAGGTAGTGGAAACTGTCACTATGCATCGTCATCCACGACAACGCCAAGGTAAGCTTTCATATCCATTTTAAAGCCATTCCTATCAGCAAAATTAGGGAATAGATACTCATTCATGTTCTTGGAAACACAGCACAAGCTCACCAGTTAACCCGACCCCAACTATGACGACTCCCGCAACAACCAGCTTCCCTGATGGGCCACCAGCAGTTTATGGCGTGGCAGAACCAACCGGCGAGCCCAGCTCAGCCACCTCTATTTCATGCAGTTTACTGCTCCTCTATTCCACAACTGGTATTGTGGGGTTTCTTGTTGCTACAAAACATCTCTGAGCGCATGGAAATTCAGTTTATCACTACCCTCGATGAGATGACAGCTTCCTTGATTGTCATCCAACTTCATGAACACAAGTATTAAGAATCAACAGCCTGATGTTTTTCTCGAGGATTTGTCCTCGGCATAGAATGTCAATCTATTTGCTCTACTATGCTTTTTAGTAGGTACGAAGCCCAGGAGAAAAGGAAGAAGAAAGTAGAATATCATAGGTTCGTGTACTCGTAGACAAGTTAAACTAGTTACATTCTCTGCAATTTCTAGCATAATAAAGTATTAGACAGGCTTGAATTGCCTTAGGATTGCATTTACAGCTTGTGTACTCGTTGTATTCAGGAAGCATACAGTTTCATTTATGAACCAACAGAGTTGATTTTACTACAACAATATTCATGGTAATTAATAGAAGAATTTATTACATTCCGTAGCTGAGGGATTGTGTTCTTCCCTGCTTAGCAAATGCACTTGCTTTAACACTCACCACCGAGCTGGGAAAAGACAGAAAACCTCGATAAAATCATGAGCTCATACAACATTTTACACCAGTAATAATCTTTGCTCCGACAGCCAAGCTGGCCCTGAACTTTTTTCCTCTTTTTCTTGAACGACCCTTTTCTTTTTAAAAATTAAAATTAAGCAGACATGTTTAGATCTTCGAAGAGGTAACTAAACAATCAGGTTAGGGTTTTTTTTATTTTTATTTTTTTTTCAACATGTGTTCATTTAAAAGCATCCAGCGAATATTTTTAAAACCTTAATAAAATATTTTATCAATTTAAAACCTTTTAAAATGATTTAAAAATATAAAATCAAACAAAAAAAAACCCACTAAACCCTAATCTTTTTCTTTTTTGGCAAAATGAAAGCTCAAACACATCTTCTTCGTGGCACTTCTCATTAACTAATTGTTTTCTCTCTTCTTTATTATTTTACAGCTACCCTCATATAAAATAATATATATATATATATATATATATATATATATATATAAAGTTTTGAATTAAAACATAAAAAATTAAAAATAAAATAAAAAAATTTCATCACCCAAGATTTTTTAAAACAAACTGTAACTCCCCGTATTATAATGAATTAATAGAGATCATTCTTTTTGTTACATGAGATATTTTTTTTATTTTTTTTTCATATTGAATAAAAAATACTCATCAAAATTTCATTACTTCCATTTTAAATTTTGTTTTATTATTTTATTTTATTCAGAAGGGTTTACATAAACAGTATAAAAAATCTTACATATTTTTCAATTTAACCTTTATATTTTTATTTTTTTATAAGCAATGAAATCCAGTGGCTTAGAAGGCCACTGGATTGACTAGTTATTCAAGGCCGGGCTCATAATACTACCTTCAATATTATTATCTCTATATTGTTAGCTCATAACACTACCTTCAATATTATTATCTCTATATTGTTAGATAGTGTTTTTTTTTTTTTTTGTAATTTGATTGTTAAGGTTTTTCAATTTATAGGTTTTAAGTGTTTTTTTGATATTACAAATAATAATAAAAAAACTCATTTTTATTATGGATTTGTCTTAAAACATTGTGGATAGCACCGTTCATTTTATTGTGCTTTTTTTCAAAACTTAAACTTTATTTCTTTGTAATTTATCCTTGTACTTGATGCTTACATTGATTTATTTGTTATAATTCACTTCTATTTGCTTTGTATTGCATATATGAGGTTTTTAGAGTGTCTTTTTTTTTTCTAAATTAAATATCAATTATATAAAAAAAGAATTTTAATTTATTGATTGAAAAAAAAATAAAAGAACAAGAATCAAAATTGAAAAAAAAAACTAGGCATTTCATTTTTTAATGCTCATTTCAGATGTGCTAAAAATAACAATTGCAAACCTAAAGTTCAAATTTTTACATATTCTGTCTTATTATTTGAGAATTTTATGTTTAGATTTTAAACTTAATTTTATTTGCATTTTAATCCCTATTTGTTGAGGGATGAGAAAGAAAGTCATTAAAAAAAACTGAAAAGAAAAAAATTTCCAGTCACTACATTTTAATAACTAAAATAGTCAATCATGTGTTGATAAGTTTTTTTTTAAGTAGTGAAGTTTTTTGGAGGTGGTTTGAAATGTTTATTTTCCTAGAAAAAAAATAAACTAAAGTTTGGAAAGGTTTTCTTGGATTTTTTTTTTAAAACCAATTTATGGTGTTGTAAGGCTAAAATTAGGTTTACTTGGATTGCTAGAATTGTTTTAGATGTTTTCAAGTGCAAAAAGAGTTAAAAAAAGATTTTTTTATCTAAAAATCTATAACTCAAATTTTGGTGGTTGAAATTTAAATTATAAGATGACGCGTTATTTACCTAGATAGATGATAGGTCACTCTTTTTTATTTTAAAAAAATATCCAAACACACCACACTAATATTATTGGCTTTTTTTATATCTAATTTAATCATAAATTTATATTTTTATACTAATATTAACAATTATTTTGTGAAATATTATATATGAATCCAATATGCAAAATTTTTAAAAAATATATACTCATGAATATTAATTGAGATTTTTATTTTTATTTTTTATCGTAAATGTTTTACATAATTTTTTCAAATTAAATATTCTTTGATTTTTTATTGCCCATAAATTATTGAGTAATGAATTTTTCTATTTTTTTTTATTGAACCTCACTTTTCATATCATGATTTAAAAAGAAATGATTCTCATAAAAAAACTTTTTTTTTAAAAAGAAAAAAATTAAAAATTACACATTTGACACTGCTATGTACAATACCTAAAATAATTAGAGAAAAAAATCAATTGTGCCATTTCTATAGTAAAATACCATTAAAAAAATCTTAAAAATCACATATTTGCCACTACTATAGTAAAAACAAATTGAAAAAAAATTCAATTGTGCGATTTATACATTAAAAGACAAATTCATTATAGTATATTATATGTATAATGATAGCATGCCTCAGTGTTGTATTAAGGTTTTTTTTAATCTTTTTTATTATTTTTTTTATTTTTCTGTTTTGAGGCTTTGCTCTGGCCACCCACATAATTTTTTTTTGATGTTTTGATGCAATTTTGTTGTAGTGAAATTTAAATCGTCTCAACAAGTTTTCCACTTTAAAATAACGGTTAGTTTCTAATAATTTTTTATTCTTTCTAGGCATGATATCAACGATTCATTTGCTTAAGTTAATTATTATAAAATATTTTTCATATAATATGTCTATTATTATTGCCTACAATTTAAATAAGATTATCACATTACTTGATTTTATTGGATTTATTCAAGTTAATAACTCAAAAATGAAGGCTTTTCTTGCTTGCTTCTAAACGTACTAGCATTGCCTAAGCTTTCTTCTGTATGTTAAAAGAAAAAAAAAAATGATCTGCCTGCGGTCACCGATCCAGTCATAATCTAAAAACCAAAGAAAGAGCGTAATTATTTTTTGTTGTTGTTGTTGTTGTTGTTTTCTTTGTTAGTACCACTAACAGCTAGCCTCAAATTCAAATCAAGGAACCAAAGTTTGCTTTGGAACAATCTTAACAGGCACTACAGATATATGGTGGTGGTGGTGGTGGTGGAGCAGTGGAAGCGACAGCTTTATCACAGCAGCCTTCAAGAATTTGGCTCTCTTCAGTATTAAATCCTAGTGTATCAATCATGCTAGGCCAGCAATGTTCGCCAATGGTGCTCAGAGCTTGGCAGCAGACACGACCAGGTTGAGTCTCGGTCACCTCCAAGGAAGGAAGGAACAATCTCCCCAGTACATGCCTGCAGCTGCAACAAAGAGCTCCAGCAATCTGGTGACTCTTCATCTACTTTTAAGCGAGTCAAAAGGTTTGAGATAGAAGCCAACGGTCTTGCCTGTAGCAGTCCAAGCTGCTGCATGCCAAGAAAGCAACGAAAAGAAGGAGCTTTAGATTAGAAGCCATTTTGAAAGAGATATTAGAGAGAGAGAGAGGTATTTGATCAGGAAATGGAGATTGCAGAGTGTGATTTATCGAGAGCATGCATGATGGTGAATTAATTTGAACGATGCACACAAGGCAGGAAGGAAACGAGAGGACGTGTGGTTCTTGGAAGGAAGGGAGGGAATGGAAAGACCACAAGGCAATAATCAATTAATCATCCATCAAGTTTACAATAAATGGCATTAAAATTCCAGTAGTTGCTATGAACTGATACGGTTCTTCCCTTAATAATGTTGTAGTTTGATCTAATTCTCCGAAAGATTGTCATCTCGCAGTTATTTTTTAAAGTGTGTTTTAGTTTAAAAATATATTTTAAAAAAAATTATTATTTTTTAAATTTTATTTTAAAATTAGGATATTAAAATAATCTAAAAACATTAAAAAAATTCAATATAAAATATAAAATAGTTAAAAGTACAACTTTCATTATAAATTCAAATTTCAATCACCCACTCTCCATCCATCCATTTCCATCAATATGTATGAATTTCATTTATATTCTTAAAGTTTCTCAATATTATTCGAATCTTATGATTGGATCAACAATTGAACAAATATGATAGAAAGTTATTAATATTGTTTACCAATACTTTAATAATAAAAAAATTTTCTTATAGACACCATTAATTACCTTCTAAAAACTAAAAGAAATGATATTTTTATCATTCATATTTATTTTAATTTATTTTTTTAATTTTTTAACTTAATCTTTAAAAGTTTAGTTTGTTGGAAATTAGATTTATTATGGTTTACTTTCTACGGGGTTATCTCAATCTCATAACCCATGTTGCGGGTTTAACCAGTATACTTTTTTTTTTAATTGATTTTTTTTTAATGTTATCATTTAATATTGAATTTATTAGGAATTAAGTTTTTTTCAGCTTGCTTTCTATTAAGCTATCTAGTTTTGTAACTCGGATTATGATTTTTCCGGGTTACCTCAGTCTCATGATTTGGGTTGCCGGTTTAGCAAGTTAACTAAGGTTCATGGGTTTGAGAAATTGACTCGAGTGGTGTTTTATGTTTTTTTTTTCAATTTCATCCTTCAATATTAGCTTAATTAAGAATTAGGTTTCATAATTTTTTTCAATTTACTTTCTATAGGGATATTCTAATCTTATGACATGGTTTATGGGTTTGATAGGTTAACTCATGTCTTTTTTTATTTTTTCTAATTAATATTTTTTTCAATTTCATCTTTTAACACTATGCTGATTGGGGATTGAGATTTATAATTTGTTTCAAATTATTTTGTTTAAGTTCTCATTGTCTTATGACCCAAACCGTGAATTTGACAGGTTAACCCGTGTTAATTTAAGTTGATACAATATATTGTTATCTTAATATTTCCTAAAAAACCTGTCATTTTTAAAATTTTTAGTCAAACTATGTTTTTATTAGTAGTCTTTATACTCATTAAATTAACCGGCCATATTAAATTAACTTTTATATAATTTA